TCGGGAGCTGCCAGCTCGGCATTTACACCCTGCCTGCATGCCTGGTGTCATCCAGGTCCCACATGACAGTAAACGAGCCATTAAAGTAGAATCTTGAGAGATGGCTTTCCCAAAGATGACCTGGCCCTGGCTTACCCCAAGAGAATTTGGAATTAAGGACTTAACACAGCCACACGTTCTCTGAGAAGAACCAACCCCAGCCCCCGTGCTTACTCGACTTAAGGATCCAGCGCCGTAAAACTGCACACCCATTAGCAGTCTCGTTCTCATCTTAGCCGTCGGTTGAAGAGTCAGCATTTCTCCTAAGCAGCTCAATCCGACACCAGCAATAACCAGAACCTTCTCAACCTCTGCAAGGCCCTGGGTGTACTGACAGCCTCGGTGAAGGAGTTATTAATGTGAGGCCTCTGGACTACTAGGAGCCCATGGGTGGGTTTTAGAGGATCCCTAAATCCCCCCAAAATTATCAATGTGCATGTGCTGGTATCTGTGCTTTTTCTCAAGGGGAAGGTCTTTGGTTCTCATTTGTGACCAAAAAGTTATTAGCAAACACTGCTCTAAGTGTAAGTCACAATCGGTTCACGAAAAACCCTGTTAAATGGGGAACAGGACAGTCAACAGCTGCTTGTGGAAGGTGTCAGGCCCTTGCCCACCTAACAGACCAGTGCTAAAGAAGGGTTGTGGATTTATCCCTGATTTATCATGCCGTGTCCCAAGAGACCAATGACACTGATGATAGGGAATGTGAAAACTTTTTTAAAGTAAGAGAATCATCTTCAGTGTAAAGTTGGAACAGCTCAAGATAGTAAAGGCTATTCGAGAGCTCGCTACCATCTCAAGTTCCCCTGAGGCCAGGCGAAGTCGTGTCTCGGTAGCATGGCTTCTGCTATGGCCATGTCAGTTACTTTCGGTATGTTTATTTTGTGATCTATGGTTGTTATGGCATACGCCTATCACTATGACTACTTTGAGTGCTAAAGTTCTCTACATAAAGTATATTTCATCAGCAATTAGACTTCCTTTCCTTCCCCTAATGTTTTCTGGACAAAGCACTACATATACTCCTCAAGTTCATTCTTAATTACCACCTCCCCGTGGTTTGCACTAGAATGTCGGTGGGCCCTAGACTCTCCCTAGGACCCTCTCTCTCTGTGCTACCTGCCTGTAGTTACCTGTTCCCAAGTCCTGTCAGTGGGTCCAAATGCCTGTTTAACTGTATAAGGGAGTCTTGTGGTACAAACGATATTCCTTTAAGGGGTATCTTAAGTACAGCTTTGTTTTTAGTTTGTTTCTATAGATTTAACCAATAACTTGTGCCTTCTGGGCTTTCTCTGTTGTCAGACCCCTTTTACATTTTAAGTCCTCAGACGCTAAGCCTCAAGATAACAGCTTCATCCCCAACACACACACACCACAGATACACATTCCACGGGTCAAACCAAACTACTACTGTCAGTGCTTCTCAAACGTGACCTGCAGGCCACTGGTATCAGAATCTTTATGGGGGGAAGACTTGTTAAAAACGTAAATTCCTGCCAACTCCCAGGCCAACTGGATCAGAGTCCATGGAGGTGGAACCTAACAAGCTGCATTTGTTAACATGTCCCCCATCCATCCAGATGATTTTTTTTTTCCAATCCTCACCTAAGGATATTTTTTCCACTGATTCTTGGGG